TGCGTGTGTGCATGTGTGTGTGTGTTTTCCCAGATATTCAGGAGGCTGAGGCAAGAGGATCATGAGTTTGGGGTCAGCTTGCACAGCTTACTGAGATCTTGTCTCAAAATAAATTCATAAAATGCCTAGAAATGTAGGTCCATGGTCCATGATAGAGTGTTCTTCTTCCTTCCTTTCTTTTTTCTTTTTTTTTTCCGAGACAGGGTTTCTCTGTGTAGCTTTGTAGAGCAGGCTGGCCTTTAACCGCCTGCCTCTGCCTCCCAAGTGGTGGGACTAAAAGTGTGTGCCACAACCTCCCAGCCAAGTGTTTCTTATCATGCATGAAGCTTTAAGGTCAATCTTCAATACTACCCAAAAAAAAAAAATTAGAACCTTTTTTAATGAACAAAGGCATCAAAAAAGAAAAGATGATGATAGGTAGAAAGGAAAACCAGTGAGCTAATACAGACACTGTAGGGCAGGACTGAAAAAGTCAGATGATTCTGCTGGGTATGGTGACTCATGCCTTTAATCCCAGCCCTCAGGAGGCAGACAGGAGGGTCCCTATGAGTTCAAGGGCAATTTGAGTCACATAGCAATTTCTGGGCCGCTCTTGATTACAGAATGAAACACTTTAAAAAACCAAACAAATTAACAAAATGAGGGGCCAAGATGAAGCCTAGTGGTGCAGTCCTTGCCTAGCATGCAGTGAGGCAAGGAGACAGAAACACTGGTAATAGATCCAGTTAGTTTAAGAAGAAGGGGCTTAAATATGAGCAAAAGAGCCAGCACATCTACAAATGTACCAACTTTTCTCAAGCTTAGGAGAAAAATCTATGAATGTTCCATCAATAATCTGAAACTTTATGACAAAACGCCTAGAAAAGTGGAAATTAATAAAACTGACTAAAGCCGGGCATTGGTGGCGAACGTCTTTAATCCCAGCACTCGGGAGGCAGAGGCAGGTGGATCTCTGTGAGTTCGACACCAAGCCTGGTCTACCAAGCGAGTTCCAGGACAGGCTCCAAAACAATACAGAGAAACCCTGTCTCGAAAAACCAAAAAAAAAAATTTGCTGGAGAGATGACTCAGTGGTTAAGAGCACTGACTGCAGCCGGGCAGTGGTGGCGCATGCCTTTAATCCCAGCATTCGGGAGGCAGAGGCAGGCGGATCTCTGTGAGTTCGAGGCCAGCCTGGTCTACAGAGTGAGTTCCAGGACAGCCTCCAAAGCTACAGAGAAACCCTGTCTCGAAAAACCAAAAAAAAAAAAAGAGCACTGACTGCTTTTCCAGAGAACCCAGGTTCAATTCCCAGCACCCACACAACAGCTTGCAACCGTCCATAACTCTTCTGACCTCTGAGGATATGCACATCCTGCACAACTATATACATAAGACTTTATGTAAATATTTATTAATAAATAATTTAAAGTGTATTTTAAAATTTCTTAGTCAGGTGTGGTGGCATACAGTTGTATCTTAGGGAGCTGAGACAAAAAGATCACAAGTTAACAGTCTTCCTGTGCTAAATAGCAAGGTCAAGGATGGCATGGGCAATTTAAGACCTTATCTCATTTTTGTTTTTGTTTTGTTTTGTTTTTTAGGGTTTTTGTTTTGTTTTGGTTAGGTTAGGGTTTTTTTTGTTTTGTTTTGTTTTTTGCTGTTGTTTTGGTGTTTTGTTTTGTTGTTTTGAGACAGGGTTTCTCTATAGCTTTGGAACCTGTCCTAGAACTTACTTTGTAGACCAGGCTGGCCTCGAACTAACAGAGATCCGTCTGTTCTTGCCTCCTGAGTGCTAGGATTAAAGGTGTACGCCACTGTCCAACCTTATCGAAGTTTTTAAAAGAAGGACCAGTCTGGTAGTGGTGCACATCTTTAATCCCAGCATTTTGGAGGCAGAGACAGGTGGATTTTTGTGAGTTCCAGGCTAGCCTGGTCTAACAGTGCGAGGTCCAGAACATCTAGAACTGTTACACAAGAAACCTTGAATTGGGGGATAAAGTTCTAGTATACAGACCACATGGTGAAGCATACAATGAGTCCAATCTCAAGTGATATTAAAAAAAGGTATAGGTCAATACAAAGCCTATTTAAAAAAGCAAGCAAATGCTATGATGACTCCATTGAAGAAATCCCCCCCCATCCCATGTGAAAACTATGTAACCTCTAGAGGGAAATAAAATAAAAAACCAAAGCGACATTATTTATTACCCATGTAGAGTAACAAAAATTAAGAAATCTGATAATACCTAATTATTCCAAAGGCTGTAAAAATCCACAGGATCTCCTTTACTGCCTGTAGGGATATGAATAATCAACCATTGTAGGCTACCCTTGAACTCACAGAGCTCTGCCTGCCTCTACCTCCCAAGTGCTAGGATTAAAGGTGAGCATCATCATCACCCATTTAGGAGACAGGTTTCTTAAACATTCATTTATTGTGCTTTGTGTGCACATGGGTATGTATGTGTGCACATACATCATTTGTGCTTTTAGAGGTCAGAGGGACCACTGGCTGAAATCAGCCCTCTCCTACTATGAGTGTTCTAGAGGTCCAACTCAGGTCATGAAGCTTGGTTACAAGTAAGTGCCTTTTTCCACTGAGCCATCTTGTCAGCCTGGGAAAACAATTTGATTTTGCTTTATAAAGCAGCATAGTTTATCTCTTTGACCCAACATTTTCATTTCTGTATATGCAAACTCATGTACATGTATAGGAATGCTCACAGTAAGATTGTTTACAGCAGCAAATCTTGGAAATAGTTCAGATCTTCATCATTGGAATAAGAGACAAATAGATTTTGATATAATCACAACAACAGCATAGAAAATCTTAGTAATACTGATTAAAAATAGGCAAGTCAGGCTGAGGAAATGGCTCAGTAGGTAAAAGTGCTAGACATACAAGTCTGATGACCTCAGCGCTGCTGTGGAGACTTGGTGGCAGAAATAGGAGAATTGCCTGAGAACTTCAGGACCAGCCAGAGTAGAAACAATAAGAAACCTCGTCTCAACAAGGTGGAACTGTCAAGAATTGACTTCTGAAAATTGTACTCTGACCTCTACACATGGACTGTGGCATGTGTGCACTTGCATTCAAATACATGATAAATAAGTAAATACTAAAAAAGATAGGCAAGTAGCAGAAGATTGTGTAAACTTGGGCATAGTCATAGGTGTGGACTTGATGGAGAGTGGGTTTAGGTCTGGGGTCAGGAGACAGGCGGCTCTCTCTTGTGGTTGGATGAGAGAGAGCAGCCTTGGTGGACCCTTGGAGAGGGAACTTGCAGCAGCCATCTGCTTCTTGTGTAAGTGACTTCTCCCCGAATAAAATTATATTTAACCTATACTGAACCTATTCCTGTGAATCTTGATCCGTGCATCCACAGTCAAGGACACATTGTCATTGCCCTACTAGTTTTATGTTTTTGAACTTGAATCTCATCTCATTAGCATGAGAATTTTAACCTGCATCATATAGGGAGGTCTAACTCCCCAGGCACAGGAAACAGAATGAGGACATCAAAGCCAATGCACCTCTAATGCTACAGTGAATCCTTGACATGTGGAGAAGGCAAAATGTTCTTTTACATTGCTCAAAGGTAGACAAAATCAAACTTAACAGGGCTATGTGCGATAAAAGCAAAATAAAAGTGAAAATATGAAAGTTCTAACCCTGGGCTGGGGATATCATTCATGGTAGAACACTTGCCCAGCATATGTTGGGCCATAGCGTGAGTTCTTGGTGCTGCAGAATAAACTACTTAAGTTTCAGGGCAACAGTTCCTCTTAGACATGTCACTTAGAGTCAGAATGTCTTGAAGTAACATGTCTAATCTGTACAAGGTAAGTGCCCAAAAATGAATCTTCTGCTGTGTTCAGGTCCAGAGTGGAAGTGGGATTGAATTTTGACTTCTTTGTCAAGATTTTCAGGTTTTTGTTTGTTTTTTTGGGAGAGGAGCAGGGGGCTGTTTATTTTATTTATTTATTTATTTATTTCTGGGTTTTTGAGACAGGGTTTCTCTGTATATTTTTGTAGACCAGATGGCCTCAAACTCACAGAGATCCTCCTGCCTCTGCCTCCTAAGGGCTGGGACTAAAGGCATGTGCTGCCACCACCCATCGGATTTTCAGTTTTTATCTTTGTTTCAGCCTGAACATTCCTCTGGTTAAGTTCTTATTTTTCAAGTAATCAGATTCTCCTAGCTTTTAGTTCCCATGTTCTTACCTTTTCATTCCTCAAGCTTTCTTTCTTTCTCCTTATTTTTCTTTAAATCAATAGGTACTCTCGAAAAAACAAAACAAAACAAAACAAAAAAGCATTATATCATACTGTACTTTCCAAATGGCAGGGTTATAGATCCAGACTACATAGGATTTTAATAAGAATTTGCTATTGATCCTCTAGTCCAATTCCTTACTATTTTATGGATAAGTTGATATGTAGAAAAGCCAAACACTTTCTTTAGATCATACAGCTTTGAGTAGCAGAGAGATATAACTGAAATCCAAGTCTCCTGACTTCTAGGCCATTCTCTCTGTCTCTCTCTGTCTCTCTCTCTCTCTCTTTTGGAGACAGGGTTTCTCTGTATTGCTTTGGAGGTTGTCCTGGAACTTGCTCTGTAGATCAGGCTGGCCTCGAACTCACGGAGATCCACCTACCTCTGCCTCCCAAGTGCTGGGATTAAAGGCATGCGCCACCAACAACCGGCTGTTCTCATTATTATAGTAACTGACAAGGGGACACTTTGTTTGAATCACTGGGTTTCTGGGATCCCAGAAGATAAATAAAAACCTTTGTAACACTGGGTGGGTTGTATGCAAATGTCCCACTTACCATTGTTACTCTGGCATTTGGTCAACTCTCCTGTATACTTCCTTCTTAGTCTACTCTGGTTTTCTGTTTCTTTTTCCTCAAGGGGTATCTTTGGGTTGGCAGAATGGGCTGTGCTTAGAGCATTTGATCAATGGCACTGCAAATAGCTTGGTCATGAGTGTCTGAAGAAATTAGGGACAATGAATGGATTGGAAATTTTCTTTATTCCTGTTTAGAAATTAATTCTGACTGGATGGTAGTGGCATATGCCCTTAATCCCAGCACTCAGGAGGCAGAGGCAGACAGATCTCCGTGAGTTTGAGGACATTCAGATATACAGAGCAAATTTCAGGACAACTAGGGCTACACAAAGAAACCCTGCCTCGAAAAACAAAAATGAAAGAGAAAAAAAATTAACTCTGGACACAAAAGTATTCAGAGATTATTCTAAGCATCAAATAGTGTAGTCCAAGGACAAGAATGGAATAGTCACTGAATCAGTATGAATGGGACAGTGCAATAGGTTTGAGACAGGACAAGAGTTTAGTTACTTAAAGTGCCACCTCTAAGACTCACCAAAGAAGTCATTCTTTTCTCTTTTTTTTTTTTTAAGATTTATTTATTACATATACAGTGTTCTGCCTGCGCGCCAGAAGAGGGCACCAGATTGAATTGTAGATGGTTGTGAACCACCATGTGGTTGCTGGGAATTGAACTCAGGACCCCTGGAAGAGCAGTCAGTCAGTGCTCTTAACCTCTGAGCCATCTCTCCCGCAGAAGTCATTCTTTCTTCATCTCCTGCCTGCTTTCTCTGAAGTAGAACCTGAATGGGAATTTCTCTTAGAATCTTGCCATTGAAATATCTAGACTGAGATCATGATATTTGAATGCAGAGTTGAGCCTTGTTCAGGATGATGAAGAAGGTGTCCTACAGGAGGAAGGGATTGGCAGTTCAAGCTGAGTTTTGTTCAGGCCATGAATTTACCATGAGATTATAGTGTAAGTGCATGTTGAGTTGACATCTGGTTTGCTCAGTGAAGAATTTCAGTCCAGTAGTTATCACCTCCCACTTGTATACAATGTCCATTATAAAACCAAGATAGGCTGGTGAGATAGTTCAACCAGTAAAAGTACTTGATACCCAAGCCTCATGACCTGAGTTTTATCCCTTCCATCTTTTAAAAGTAGTCCTCTGAGCTGGGTGTTGTAACACACATTGTCTTTGATCCCAGCACTTGCAGAGGCAGGTGTTCTTTATGAGTTCAAGGCCAGCTTGGTCTACATTGTGAATTCTAGATCAGCTATGACTGGAAAGTCAAAACCCAAGCAAAATCAAACAAAATCAAATCCCAAATAAATAAAAACAAAACAATAAAGCCCCAAAAAGTTATCCTCTGACCTCTGTATGTGCCTGCACTCACATCAAATGCACATAATAAATAAAATTTAAGTTTAATCATACGAGCAAGGGAAGGAGATTCAAGACCATGATTGGGAAAACCACAGACAACTGACCCAAGCTAGTGGAAGCTCACAGACTCTGAACTGACAGCGGAAGAACCTGCATGAGACCGAACTAGGCCCTCTGAATGTGGGTGACAGTTATGTGGCTTGATCTGTTGAGGGGGCAGAGCTGGCAGTGGAACCAGGACTTATCCTGGGTGCATGAATTGCCTTTTTGGAGCCTATTCCTTATGGTGGGATACCTTGCTCAGCCTTGATATAGGAGGAGATACAGACTTTGTTGATTCCCAAAGGGAGGACTTACCCTCTCTGAGGATTGAATAAGGGATGGGATGGGAAGGAGGTGGGAGGGCAGGAAAAGAGGATTGGGAGAACTGGGGTTGGTATGTAACATGGAAAAAAATTAATAAAAAGCTTCTCCAATGGGGAAAATTTTAAGTTTAAATCTTGGCAAAACCAAGATTGAAAGCAGAGTGAAGTAGAATGGTGAGATTGGAACCCTGTTTATGGCTTGTATTGATAGCGTCATTTTCATATTTTGTCCCATCTTGTTGGTTACACACCTCTAATTGATAAGATTATGATTATGAGAAGCCTGGAGACAGACTGAAGTCCTGTCTTTATGTCAAAAAGAGTTAGGAGGAGAAGGCATATAGGTACTATTTGATACATAAGCAAAATTCCTATTTCATTCTTTACAAACACACCTCTTCTATAATTGCTAAGCATAGTAGAGAAAAAAGAAAAGAAAAAGAAAAAATCTTTTTTATTAGAAAGTCAGGCATGGTCGGGGATTGATAATATAGCCAGGTGTTGGTGGCGCACCCCTTTAATCCCAGCACTCGGGAGGCAAAGGCAGGTAGATCTATGTGAGTTCGAGGCCAGCCTAGTCTACAGCGTGAGTTCCAGGACAGGCTCCACAGCTACAGAGAAACCCTATCTCAAAAAAACCAAAATAATTATAATTATAATAAAAGCTGGGCATGGTGGCACATACCTTTAATCACAGCACTTAGGACAAAGAACCAGGTGGATTTCTGAGTTTGAGGCCAGTCTGGTCTACTAAGTGAGGGCTGTTACACAGAGAAACCCTGTCTCAAAAAAAAAAGAGGGGGTGGTGATGGTAGAGAATTTATGCACTGAGATAATAGAAATGAGAGGGAGTTGGCACTTTCTAAAGGTAGAATTCTTCAGTGTGGTTGCCATTGTGAATATCTGTGGAGAGTCAATATGGAAGGGCTCTGCTTTCCTTTTTATCCTGAGTCGTAAATCTTTTGTATAACTTTAAAACTATTGTGGTTACTCTGCTTGCTTACTCCCAACTCAGGTCTCTGGCTTGTCATTTGACTCTGAGGCATTGGTATCCTACTCTGCTGGGCCCTTCTTTCCTGACTCGTGTGTTAACCTCCCTGAGTTAGAATCCTTCAGTGCTTCCCTGGCGTTCTTAGAGGATCAACTCCAGTTGCCTTAACAGCCCATAAAGCCTGCCTGAGCTGGCCCTAGTTTACATCTTTTATATCTTTTTTTTTTTTTTTTTTTTGGTTTTTCGAGACAGGGTTTCTCTGTGGCTTTGGAGACTGTCCTGGAACTCACTCTGTAGACCAGGCTGGCCTCGAACTCACAGAGATCCGCCTGCCTCTGCCTCCCGAGTGCTGGGATTAAAGGCGTGCGCCACCAACGCCCAGCTTTATATCATTTTTTGCCATTCATTATAATGTATGCAAATTAAGTCCTGTGAGCCTATCTGTCTTTATCCTTTCCATATTCTATTATACTAACTGTCCCTAATTCTGAGATCCTGAGTCTTATTGCACCAGGACATCTTCAAATCTCTGGGTTAGGCTAGTTCCCCTTCCCTGGTTCACATGGTGGTCTATAAGCTCACCATCTCAGCCCTTACCATACTGTGTTGTAATTACTTATTCCTTGCCTGCAATCTCCAGCAGACTAAACTCTGTGTGGAAAATAGCTTGTTTATTCACCACTGTATCGCTGTCTCTAGTTGGTATCTGGCATATAGTAAGTCCTTCCATAAATTAAATATCTAAGAAATGGATGAATGAACTGAGTTTGTTGTTCTGTGACAGGAATGGGCAAAGGACAGCACAGAATGCCTTCCAAGGATGAGCTGGTCCAGAGATATAACAGGATGAACACCATCCCCCAGGTATTGTTTGCTGGTTCTGTCTGAGTTAGGACCTTTCTCTGGATCCTGCTAAAAATAATGGATGGGAGAACAGTGAAGCTAGGGCCATTGTAGATCATTTAACGGCACTGGGTATATTGTAAAATGATCTTAACTTGGCACTGGGTATATTGTAAAATGATCTTAACTTGAGTCATATATTACATGAAAGCAGTCATATGAAAGCAAAGGCAGGTGAAATGAAAGAGATGACCATGGACCCATCAGGGTAATTACATGTAAGCAAACATTTGGAGGGTGGCTGGGAGCTCAGGAGACCAGTTCCTATTCTTGTCATCCGCACCATCAACTAACCAGCTTCTTGAGAGCAAGCTCTAACATTTTATCTTGTTCTGCTCTCCTCTGCCTCTTTCTCTTTCAGACCCGATCCATTCAGTCAAGGTTCCTGCAGAGTCGGAATCTAAACTGTATAGCACTTTGTGAAGGTATGCAGTTCACCCAGTTCATGTTTTTTTGGAACCCTGCCCTTTATTTCTGATGCCTCTTTGGCACATGATTCAGCCAGAAGTTATATCGAAGCATCATGTCCTCCTCCCCTACCTGGATGGTCTTAAGCTTTATCTCTGTGACTTCTGGTCCCTCTTTTCCCAGTGATTACATCTAAGGACCTTCAGAAACATGGAAACATTTGGGTGTGCCCTGTGTCCGACCATGTCTGCACCAGGTTCTTCTTTGTGTGAGTCTAAAAGGAGCCCCTGGGATTACCTGTAGAGTGAGGGTGGTAGATGGTGTGTGACTGTTGAGGATGTCCATTTTTGTTGTCTGAGTCCTGTCCCTTGCTAATTTAGCTGGCACTGGGACTTTGCCTTTTAGGGATAAGGACACATCATTGGGGTCTGTGCTGAACTGATCCCTTCATCCTGACTTTGGGGTGAAATGGTCACGTCTTGAAACACTTCTGCTGGCAGACATGATTTGCTATTCTGCTTCCCCTTGTGCTCACACTTCCCCTGTCTTTGGCAGATACGAGGATGGGCAGGTGGGCGATGCCAACATTAATACTCAGGACCCCAAGATACAGAAGGAAATCATGCGTGTGATCGGAACTCAGGTTTACACAAACTGAGGGGGCCCCAGCCCTCGTACCACCCTGTTCCCCCAGGATCCATCTGCCCTTGTAAAAGGGCTCAGGAGCAGCAGGTGAGGCTGCCCTGAGAAATGTCAAGGGCCAAGAAATGGATAGAAGAGGCAGCCTTCATGGTGGAGACTGATCCAAGAACCACTCCACATTCGGATGGCCCTGACTGACTCCCACCCCTGATTTGCCCAGTTGACTTCACCCTGTTTGTAAATAAAACAATAAAATGGAAGGTGCTGTGGACTGGATATGATCACTGTGTTCTGCCTAGCCTTGGCCCAGCACCTAACTGAGGCCCCAGATAAAGGGTTGTGTTGTGGGAGTGGAATATCCTCAAAGTTGGGACTATTTGTGTTTCCTAAAGTAAAAGATGTCTATTTAGTTTCAGTTTTGTGTTCTACAGGTATGTCAGTATTTTTAATCAAAAGATTAAGTAAAGAGGGGAAGTTTATCAGTTATAAATGAAACAAACAGGAGAAGAATACCACAGATGATGGTTACTGAAGATTTAAAAGGGTCTTTAAGGCCAGAGCAACTTTGGTTTTTTTTTTTTTTTTCCCTAAACCTTCAGGACCAGCTGCTTTCTTACACAAAATCAACCCTGTCTTTTGCTTTGTTTCTTAGAGGCTGGGCCCTTATTCTTTCTCCTGCCTGGCTTTTAGGATAAGTGGGGTAACGGGTAAATTGGCAGGTATAGAAAGCTGGGTTCTCTAACCTGAAGTCCTTTAAGAGAGGCTAGTCTAGGACTGTGGATATAGCTCAGTGGTAAAGTGCTTGCTTAGTATGTGTGAGGGTCTAAGGTGGCCAGAGGCTGTCAGGTTTGGAGTGGGAACTCACCAGAAGTTGGAACTCCCTAAATAGGAAGGTGTTCTGAAACCACTGCCTTTCTTTAACACTGGCTAGCTTTGGAGGATTGGGTTTGTGGTGACCCCAACCATAAAATTATTTCATTGCTACATCTTTTTTTTTTTTTTTTCGAGACAGGGTTTCTCTGTATTGTTTTGGAACCTGTCCTGGAACTCAATCGGTAGACCAGGCTTGGTCTCAAACTCACAGAGATCCCCTGCCTCTGCCTCCCAAGTGCTGGGATTAAAGGCGTGTGCCACCACTGCCCGTCTTCATTGCTACATCTTAACTGTAATTTTGCTACTGTTATGAACTGTAATGTAAATATCTGATAGGCAGGTGGTCTTAGGCAACCCCTGTCAAAAGGTTGCAACCTACCTTGATAACTCCTGGTCTAGAGTCTCACAACCAGGTCCCTCCAACTCCAGAACCTGAGCTCTTGTCATTCTATATCCTAGAATTTTACTATATAGCCCTGGCTGACCTGGAACTCACTGTGTAGACCAGACTGGCCCCTAACTCAGAAATCTCCTGTCTCTCCCTCCAGGGTGCTGGGATTAAGGGTGAGCCCTACCACACTGGGCACCTAGTACCTCTCAATCAGCTGATGCCCCATCTGGACCTGGGTTATAAAACATTTTTGGCAGTTTCAGAAACTAAGAAAATTTTCCTACTTATAAACATTCCAATACCTGCCATGCAAATGCTAGCAAATGGTGGAATCAGAAGGAATGAAAAACTAGTTTTGTTTTGTTTTGTTTGCTCCAAAAGCTCCAATAGCTGAGCTATCCTTGTGGTATCATTTTGTTTTGTTTTAATAGCACAACAGACTGGATAGTATAATCCCAGCACTTGGGAGGCAAAGTCAGACAGATAGATCTCTGTGAGTTCAAGACAGATCTCTGCAGCCTGTTCTACAGATCAAATTCCAGAACAGCCAAGGCTACACAGAGAAACCCTGTCTGGGGGGGGTGGGGTGAGGGGGTGGGGGGGGACAGCACAACATGGTGTTTTTATATATATAATTTTATACTTCTCTATTAAAAAGCTGATCTCAGAAGTTCATAGGCCTGATAATTTAAAACATGAGATTAAAAAATTCTAACCAGAGCCGGGCAGTGGTGGTGCATACCTTTAATCCCAGCACTTGGAGGCAGAGGCAGGCGGATCTCTGTGAGTTCAAAGAGCCTAGTCTACAGAGCTAATTCCAGGACAGCTAGAGCTAGGGCTGTTACACAGAAAACCCTGTTTTGGGGGAAAAAAGAATTCTAACCAGAATCAAGAATGCTTTCTGAAAGCGGGGTCTGTGGCTCAGCCCTAGCACCTCTGCTTAACAAGTATAAAGCTCTGGGTTCATTTCTCAGCATTGTAAGGAGGAAGAAAAGACTCTGACAGAAGAATGCCCTCATTGCAGAGAGACTTGCTTGGTAGCGGCCTGTGTTTCAGGAGAGGTGTCCTCTCACAGCTTGGAGGGAGAATGGAGGGCCTGGCTACTTCCAAGGTGAGAGGGCTGGGGTCCACGAAGATGTGCAGGAGCTACAAGATGACATTCTTCACTTGGGCCAGAGCTCTTACAGCCCATCTTCCACTTATCTGGGTGTAAGCAATCTCAATTCCCTCAGATCTACACATGCTTGAATAGGGATAGGGCCAGGAACAGGAACTGTTTTCCTCAATTAGTGCCAGATGGAGAGTATATAGCTGTGATTTTGACCTCAAAACTCAAATACTCTTTGAACTTCATTTTCCCTCCTTTCCTGGTAGTTTTCCATAAAGGCGGGTGTGGCCATGACTCAGTTTGTGGTAAGGATGTGGCCATCAGCTGGGGAGGAGAGGAGCTTGTTTCTGACTTTAATTCTAGCTGGAAGGAGCAGAGTCTGGTGCTGAGTCATTACTGGTTTTTACAAGCTCACAGCATTATTCTGGGTAGACATCTAGGGAGATCTTGGCTTCTTTCTTATAGGTGATGGGGAGGCAGTTCTGTGGGTCACACAATTCCACTGCATCCCTCCCACCCCAGGAATGATAAAAGGGTAGGCTTCAGTTTGTTAGAAGAGACACTGACTCTGGAACACAGGACTTTCTCCAAATGGAGTGTAAGACCAGCTACCCCCTCACCACCATAGGGCCAGAGATGATACCCTTTAACACTGCAAAAAATGGTTTTACACAGGAGATAGCCTACAGTCTGTTTAGTTCTAGTTGTTCTTGGGATGATTGAGTGCAATAGCCAGCAGTCTGTAAGGACAGACACAAAGATAAACACATCTAAGGAAAAAGTAGGACTTCTTTGGAGAAGGGCATGTGATCCATTGCTTCTTAGTCTTTTTTTCCCCCAGAATATTTATTAAGGTTGCTTAATAAACAATTTCTCACTTATTTTGAAAGTCCCTTATTGGAAATATAATTATTCTGATGACAAACAGCAGTCACAATGATCATTCTGGACTTCCACATTGGATGAAGTCTATTTGTACTTCTGAGGTAATGGTTTTATTATTTCTACAGTGTCTGGTTGCCCCTGACCTAGCAGTTAACCTGGGGATATACTTATTTAGAATGATATAAAATTATAGAAGAGGGAGGGAAACTCAGTGGTCTCAGACCTTCTGAGACAGAGGTAATTGTCCCTTCTATAAGGAAACCTTATTGATAGGCCATGCGGCTTCACTACTTGGATGGCTTTGCTGGTGGATGTCATCTTGCCCATCATGACCCTCTTGGTCTTCCAAATCTTGATTGACACCCCATCCACAGTTTCATCACACAGTCGTTGTCTCAGGATCATTCCCTTTCTATCCTCCTTGGGATGGAAGGTGTCGGACTATATGCTCAGAAGGACTTAAGGTAGGTTCTACTGACTCTCCAGTTTGTATACTACAAATGTAGGGAGACAGGGGAGCACAGGACCTCTCAGGAGTAGTTGGCTGGGTAGATTACACCACTCTAAATGACCTTTTTTCAGTGAGTTCCTGCTGTTGTGGGATAGAAAAAAAGTTGGAGGTCATGTTGGGTGACAAGGCCTCCTTGGCTGAGATAGAGCTTTACAGTGAGTAAGGACTCCATGCTTATCTCTTCCTGCTTCTCATTGCTGATGCAGCATTTGCAAGATACTGGGAAAGCCCAGACACATAGTTTCATTCAGAAAACTTGTATTTTCTGGAATTACATTCATTTGCTGAATACTGAACATCATGGAGAGGCCCTTTGTACCTAAGCTGACTTTCCTTGTGAAGCTCAAATATTTCTCCTACTTGAAACCTTTTCTTTTCCAGAGACAACTCTTTTTTTTTTTTTTTTTTTTTGAGACAGGGTTTCTCTGTGGCTTTGGAGGCTGTCCTGGAACTCGCTTGGTAGACCAGGCTGGTCTCGAACTCACAGTGATCCGCCTGCCTCTGCCTCCCGAGTGCTGGGATTAAAGGTGTGTGCCACCAACGCCCGTCGACAACTCTTTTTCTTTATCAACTCCAAAAATCCATCATTTTATTCTTTCCGGGGTTTCTCTGGGGGAAACTTTGATCTAACATTGTGATAGAAGAATTTTTTTAGACATCTGAAGAAGGCATGGCATAAAAAGGCCTACTGGGTGTGGTGATAAATACCTACAATCTATGAATTCAAGATCACTGTGGGATATTGAATGAGACCCTGTCTCAAAATAAGTCAGGTAGAGGCAGGTAGGGCTGAAGTCTTAAGTTCTGCATTAAGCCTGATGTTTAAGGCTGTGGGCAGCTTTGTAGTCTGTCTTGTCCTCAGAGATAGCCCTTCCATTTCCAGAGACCAAGAGGTCAATATGGGACACCTTAGAACCCCGACATTTCAGCAGGGCCAAAGAATATTTTTGACTTATTCTTCTCTGAGAATGCCCATTGAATTTTAAGAACTTTTAAGCCATTAAACCAGATTCTATGATCTTTTGGCCAAAAATCTGCAGTAAAGTGAGTGACTCTCGAAGCTCACTCCCCCAATCAAATCAGTGAACACAAAGGAAGGACTTACTTTAGGCTGGGTGAGGGGCAGTGTCCTTCAGCCCTGGTTTCCTGTAGTTTGGGGCTGCTGTAGATCAAAGGAATGCAGATTCAGAGGGAAGGCTCAGAGAAAGCAGGTATTCAGAAAGGTGCTATGACCTCTAAGACTAGGAGGAAGGTATCTATTCCACACTGTTGAACTCATTCACATACAATAAACTGACCAAACTCCACCCTGTGAAATAGGAGTTGTCCTCAAGTTACTTTTAACGGACTGTACTTGTTTAGTTACAGGTATAGTCATAGGGCTAGTGATTAAAACTAGAACAAAGATAAGATACAACCTTAACTTATTCTTCTATATCAGGCTGACTTCTCAGCAAAAGCAAGACAGTAACTTTTGGAAAGCCACTATGACACATTTTGTCATCTAATATGAACAAGACAGGCTGTAGCCTGCCACTTCCATGCACCCCATTTGTATAACTGTCACATCACCAAAACCTGCAGATGCCACCATTTCTCCAGTTTAATGGATATTTGTGTTAATCATGGGACCATACCCAGTTTGGCCTCCAGTCCTACTTTGGTCTCCTAAGAGCCAAGATCACAGACTTGGGCACACTTAGCTTTTTACCTGGATGTGTGTGTGTGTGTGTGTGTGTGAGAGAGAGAGAGAGAGAGAGAGAGAGAGAGAGAGAGAGAGAGAGAGAGAGAGAGAGAGAGAGAGAGAGACTGAATAAGAACCCTAACCTTGGATGGCCTAGAGCTCACTGTGTAGCTCAGGCTGACCTTTGACTCTACAGTGTCTCCTGCCTGGGCCTCATAAATGCGGGGATTACAGGTGTGAGCCACTATGACTCCCAGTTAGATTTAGAACTTTGAGTGGCAGTATGCACAGACACATTTAGAAAGTGGCAACATTGTATCTGCTTTTAAAACTTCGCTGAACGAAGACCAGTGTTAACAGATTCAGCTTGAGAAATACTCTGGTTAAGACTTCAATTGGGAAATTAGAAAACACCTTGTAGGAAAAAAATTAAGGAAGGCTCCTATACTGCAGATTGAAATACATGACTGAGTCGAAAACCAGTGCTTACTCCTGCATAGATATTCGCTGTGTGATGGTCAGTTTTGCACTAATTACCTTGGATTGGTTTTCTTCTCCAAGGCACTTAACAGGGCAGGATTCGAGACCTAGCTTGAGAGTATTAACATGGCCCCACACTTACCGTTTCTTGTTATGAGGCCGCGCTTACGCTCCAGGAACAGGCTCCTAAGTCCCCCCTACCAGGTCTCTAAGACTACAGATTTCTGGGAGACAGCCCAGACCTCCGACCACCCCACATCACATCACCCCAGCTTCCCGTTCCGCTCAGCCTCGGAGGTTGCGTTGGGGCGGGCACCGGGCGGGGCTGGAGGAATGTCCTGGGACCTATAAATCTGGGCACCGCCCTGATAGTCCAGGGCAGATGGGGCGACCTGGGCAGAGTGCCAAAAAGGGAGCCCTATAGAGTCGTCCAAGTCCTAAGGCAACAGGTGGCCGTGGCGCCTGGGGATCTGGGATAGTGGTGGCCGTGGCTCCGAGGGCGGGCCCTGCTTTCTCACCACTTCCCCATTGGCCATCAGAATAACTCATGCGCAATTTTGGTCTTCTGTGTCCTTCCGCCACGGAAGGTAGTCCTCCCCAAAAGGGCAACCTGCCTGTCCCGCCTCCATCGTGCTTTTCTCAGAAGGTGCGGGCGCCTGGCAAGACGCGAGAGGCGGGGCGCCGCTGACCGCCGCGGGGATTGGGCGAGGGGCGGGGCTGCGGAGGGATTGCGGCGGGCCGCAGCTGGGATAACCTTGAGGCCCAGGAGGCGCTCTCCCGCACACCCGTGACTCGTCCGGACCCTTCAGTCGTCCCACTTAGGCATCGGTGCACACTCCGGAGCACGCCCGAGGTGAGCGGGGAGAGCCTACGCTATCGGGGTCCATGGCCGATGCCTGCTTCTGCGGAGCGCAGGCCCGCCTGCCCACGCGGGACCAAGGCTCCTGGCATCGTGCATCCCAGTCTGGGTTGGGGGAGAATCTACACTCGAGCACAGGTCCTGGGCTTCCAAAGACAGAGGGGCCAGCCAGCTCCTTCCCACGCGCTGGTTCTGGTTCCTCTCCTTTCCTTCTCAATCTGGTTCCACCCTCTTATCTCACTTCTGCCATCCTCTACGCCCTGTTCTCTCCCACTCTTCTCCGAAGCTCATCCTCCTGCATTCACTAGTAGTTCTTTTTCCCTTTTTTCTAGTATTGTGCTAACCCCTTCCCTTCGGTGCCCTCTTTGTAATCTCTCCTCGAAATAACAGCTGCTCTCCCCCTTGTGCCCCCGAATTCATCCTCCATTCAGGTCAGCGTGCTCTTCCAGGGCCGCGTTCGCTGCTCCAGGTCGCCCCTCCCCCTCCATTCTGGTCACGTCCGCGCCACTGCATCCTTTCAGCATCCGGATCCTCGCCCCTCCCCCTCCGCGCAGCTGCCCCCGCCCTCCGCATTCTGGTCACGTCCGCGGACTCCCCTCTGGCCCTCGTGGTCCGCGGCGTGTGGGTAGGATGCAGTCAGTGGCCATCCAGAGAGATGTAGCGACCGGTTACGTAACAGCAGTCTTCCCGGTGGTGGGGCAAGAAGGGATGGCCGCTATTCCTTCCTATTTTGTGCGGCCGCAAATTCATCTGGTTGCCGGCGAAGCACTCGTGCTCCGGGCTATCCGAGCCCTGCGGGGCACGTGCAAGCGCACCATCCTGCGGTGGCCGGGCTGCACGTACCGCAGGGTGCCTGGACCAGCCTGCTGCACTGCTCCAGCGTGCTGGCTGGGGGTGGGGAGGTGGGCGATCAACCAAGGCCGGTTTCCGAATGGAGATACAGCCGGACACGACCGGAACGCTCATAGCCCACAGAGTGCAGTCTAATTAGGGAAGCAAAAATTGTCAAGTCAGTGCTGTGAGGAAGGATGGGGCTGCACGAGGTGGCCCGCACCCAGGGATGAAACGGCAGGAAAGCACCTAGTCTGAAGGTTACATAGAAATACAGTCATGGAAAGATGTCTCTCTTCCAACCCCAGGAGATTGATAGGATAAAGTGAGCTTCGTAATGTAGGTCCAGTCCTGTGTGGAGGCATTGGCGGATGTAAACAGGATTTTTGGAATGTGATGTGATTAATTAATTTTCTGAGGTGGTTCAGCCTCTGGTCCTGCGTCACAAGTGGAGACATTTGCTCCAGGCTGCTGAAGTTATTGGTCTCCGTGTATGTACGGGGCGTACTGGATGCAGTGACTAATCTCAGGTAAAATGGCCAGAAGGGCGTGCACGTGTCTTTTTTTGTCAGTGAATGAAATACAGTTTTGTTGAATACTAAGATACTGAGTCTTTGTTTAGGGCTAAGCTTGGGGAGGCAGGAAGGCTCTGGACACCCAGTATCCCCTTGGAAACGAATTCTCTCTGGATTCCAGTGAGTGTTTACAATGTAGCTAATGTTACTTTGCAACTCCCGAGGAAGGAGCCAGCTATCTAAACAGAAATGTAGCAGCTTTTGTCTTCGACCGTAGGGGTAGAAACAAAGAAACAGGTACCCAAGTCTATGTCTTCCGATTCTCGTCCCTGATTATTCCTGTAAGACCCGCTGTCTTGTAGGAAGTTGGGTTTGGAGATTGTTGCAGTAAGTTCTGTTGCCCCAATACTCAGGGTGTGGCTCTTTTCTAAGGTTCAGAAGGGAGGGGCATGGGTCGAGATTCAAGGTACCATTGTTAGCTAACAATTTACCCTCTGGTGCCTGAGGATGCTGTAGGTAAGGCAGTGAGGCTGTTCTGTGGGAAAGTGTAGTGTAATCCATCACCGGGTCTGGGCAAAGATGACTCAGCCTTTCAACTTAGCGGCATTCGAAAGGATTCTCATCATTGGGTGAGTAGGGAAATTTGGTTCTTCCAGGTTTAGTAAGGCCCCTGCTTAGTCAGTCAATACTGAGCTAGCATGCATTTCCCTAAGTTAAGCATGTGTCACCCAGGCTGCATGGTGGTTCGCGCCAGGATCTCCAGTTTCAGACTACTCAGTCTGAAGCCCTATGGGGGAGGGGCCAGCAAAATGCCGGTGACCAGGTCCTTTGTGCTACCCTAAGAGCAGAAGTGTGAGTGTTTGCTCCTAGTCTATATGTGATAGGACAGCAGCTTCTCATGGAACAAGTATCCAGAATGGCAGTTTCTGTGAAATCATTTGAGTTACTGCTTATTAAGCCAAACTAATTGATCGCTTTCTAGTACACATCTGTTTTCATTTTTAAACATTATATTTAAAGTAATTGTTTAATTCACAGGGAAATTTGTTTTACAAAGAGTTAATACTAAGAACTGTGTCCCAGCCAAGTGTAATGGCCCAAGACTCCTTTAATCCCAGCACTCTGGAGACAAACACAGGCAGATGGCTGAGTTCAGGCCAGCCTGTGCTACATAGAAACTCATAGTGTCTCAAAAGAAAAAAATCCACGTTCCCAGTGAATGACATGGCACATTTCATAGCTGACTCCAAACAACTCAATCTCATGAGGGTTGGATATGCCATCTGTTGTGACATGAAGGTGTTGGTCACAGGAAAGGACATCTTATTTCTTAAAGCTGTTGATTTCTTAATATTGAGTAGAAGAAATGAGGAAACAGTAATGGGCAGGAAGGTAGGGATAAAAATCGGTTGCATTAAACTCACATTACTTGGGCTTTAGTGTCTTTTGCTTCAGCTTTTCTACAGGAAGTCAAGATGAGTTGGCCAAGCACTAAGGTGGAGATTGAGGTAGAGGAAAATGACTCACTTGACTTTCAGTTTCTGGATCATCCCAAATACCCAAGCCAAATTAACTGGTAAACTACAAGAATGATTTGACGCCTGTGAGGTTTTATACATTACTGGTAAGAGTACTTACAGACTGAGTCATCCCTGTAGACTCTAGTACAGACAGGAATAAATGACAGACTTTTTGGTGAATTCCTGACATGATACTTTCTTGGGTGTTGCAATTTTTCCCAAGAGCCAGACTTGGACTGGATATGGAGTAAGAAGAGGTGAGCCTACATGGGTGGTGGCCTGCAAACCCCTGCTGGCCTCTTAAGGCTTAGTGTAGCTGCTCAGCTCAGGACTGGGGGTGGTCTTAAAGACACCAAGCTGTGCAGTGAGGCCACACCCCTACCGTAGTTTGTGCCTCTCTGCACGTAGGAGGCAGGGAGGGCTTCTGAACTGCAGTACCTCTGGTGGCCTCTGAGGCACCTTATCCACTGAAGGGTCTGAGGAACTCTAAGCCTCTTTCCCAAAGCCAGCCAAGCTCTAAAGGAAGCTGCATCCCTTCCAAACATTTTTAAATTAACCTACAGGTCATATTTTGAGTTTGAACTACTGGTATTTCCAGCAATAAGTGTAAAAGATTTTAAGCCATGCCCATTTTTCAGGAGTCCAAACTTAAGGAGTAGGGAAATACCGGGTGTGGTAGCACACATTTTTAATCTTAGCACTCTGGAGGCAGAGGCAGCCAAACCTTGAGTTCAAGAAAGAGCTGGTAATGTAGCTCTTGGTAAAAATGGTTGCCTAACCTGCACAAAGTCTTGATCCATCACTAGCACTACATAAAACGGACATAGTAGCATGTCTTTAATCCCAACATTCAAGAGGTGGTGGCAGGAGAATTGGAATATATTCAGCCTCAGCTGCTTGATGAGCTCAAGGCCAGTCCCAGACACAATCAAAATACTTTTATTTTTGGAAAGTCTAAAAATACAGGTCGTTGTTGATGCTGGGTTTTAGGTGGTAGAAATGCAGGGTTTGAGGTCTTTCTCCCCCTTGGGAAGGAAGTCAATAGTTGGGATCCTATAAAGGTCACTGAAGACAGGCACTCATAGTAAGTAGGTCAGTGCTCTTGGACAGCTGGTGCTGCCTTCCGGAGTTAATCCCCCTCCCATTCAGGGCACTCCTTTAGATGCCGAGAATGTGCCTCCAGTTTTGGAGGCCATTGTGCATTCTGCTTACACCTGGTTCCCTAGACTCCTAAGCAGGGTCCAGAGCGTGGGCATCATTCCCAGAAACACTAGCCACTGAAGCCTGCTAAGGAGGCCACCATGTGCCAAGAGAACAGGAACTTTCTCCCAAATCACCTCCTTCTGGCTCAAACTAGTTCCAGGAGATCCTTGGTACTAAGGACTGGAGTTTCTTTGACCTGACTTTCTGTCCTGAAGTAAAATGGTCTTTCTGGGGGAGTGGTCCTCATAATTCCTTGAAAGAATTTACAGTAGGACCGGTGAGGTTAAGATTAAATAAGAGATGATTTTTGCTTGTTTAATTTTTTTTGACCCCCACAGAAATTTTTAGCTGAAACTCCTAGTAACACCAGACCTTTCTGATACTGAATTTGCTAGGGTTAAGAAGTAGACCTCCCCCTGGGCATGGTAGCAAATGCCTTTAATTCCAGCATTTAGGAGGCAAGGGCAGATGGATATCTTGAGTTTTAGGGTAGCCATGTCTTAAATAAATGAGCCAGGCAGTGGTGGTACATGGCCTGACAGTGCCAGCTCTAGGAATCAAGGTAGCCTTGGGCAGTTTTTATTATTTGTTCTTATGCCTTTTGTGCCTGAGATGAGGGAAGGCAAAACCAGGTGATCTGAGCTGGGCCTATGCATGCCTCAACCTGTGGCCCACACTGAAG